CCAGCATTTGTTATTTTCTGTCTTATTGAACTTTGCTACTAGTGCTGGGGCAAGATGGTATCTCGTTGTTTTGATTTGCATCTCTCTAATAGCTAATGATTGTGAGCATTTCTTTATATGTTTGTTGGCCGCTTGAATATCCTCCTTGGTGAAGTGTCTATTCATGTCTTCTGCCCATTTTTTAATTCACCCAGACATTCTTACAACACATACATATATTTCAGCTTCTTAACTTTGCAAATTTGCTTCTACTTCTGGACTCTTTCTATGGAAAAATGCCCTTGTGCCCAAACATATACAACTTTGTGGACAGTTATAGGGACTTCTCAGGCTCTGGAGGGGTCTTGGGCCCCACGTTGTTAGCTTTTGTTGAGTGGGCTTCCAGCTCGTGGCAACACCATGTAATCAGAAATAAAAAAATTCAGTGCCACTGAGTTTTGACTCACAGCAACCCCCATTGGGTTTCCAAGGCTGTACATCTTTAGAGAAGCAGACTGCCTCATTTTTCTTCTGTGGAGTGTCTGGTGGGTTTGAACCACCAACCTTTTAGTTAGCAGTCAAATGCCTTAACCCCTTGTATAGCAGAATAAAACACTGCCAGGTCCTGAGCCATCTCCATGATCAGTTGCCATTGTGATCCATACGGTTTTTCTATGGCTGAGTTTTGGAAGTAGGTTGCTACGTCTTTTTCTAGTCCATCTAGTCTGGAAGTACTGCTGAAACCTGAGTAGCATCATAGCATCATGTAAACATCTACTGACAGATGAGAGGTGGCCGCATATGAGGTGCCTTGGCTGGGAATAGAGCCCTAGTCTCCCATATGGAAGGCGAGAAATATGCCACTGAGCCACCACTGTCCTTGGACCCCATAATAGGTACCCTTGATGCTGTATTAAATGCTAGTGCTAAGGTTGAACCCTTCCTTCCAACTTCCCTTCTTTGTACATAAATTCCCTCATTAAAGGAAGTTAGGTCTTTCAGGGTAGGGAGCCCTTTGGGAGTTGTTAAGCCTGGGTGTTAGGTGGTTCTGTATCTATGCTGTGTGCTCACTAGCCACTACCATGTTATTGGTTATGCACAGATGTCCTGCCACCCGGAGCTGAACCAGTATATCCAGGACACGCTGCACTGTGTCAAGCCACTCCTGGAGAAGGTGAGGGCATCAGTCCCCCTAGCCTGCTCAGTCCCAATCTCACTGACTGACTCCACCATGGGATAGTGCTGGGACCATGTAGGCTCCCCATGGCTCTAACACCTAGATGCCTAATCCCAAATCTAGAGCCCACTTCTACCCAGGGACAAGCCTCTGGGCATGTGGACCATGTCCGGGTGACCTGGGCCTAGGAGCTTGGGTTAGTGGGGCTGGCTCTTAAGATAGTGACTACCCTGGAGGGTTCTGGGTTCTCTCAACTTCTGTTTCTCACCCCCTGACTTCCTTAAGTTTTGTCTGAGCTCAGCTCCCTCTGGGTTCCTTTCTCCTATCTTGTCCTGGTCCCTGAGACTTCCTGGAACCCCCACGGGGTCCAGCTATCCTCTGTCTCAGCCTAGAGGGTGAGCAGGGCAATGCATGGCATTCCCATCCTTCCTTAGGCATGGGCGGGAGGGAGATTGAGTGGGGGTAGAGGTTCTGGAGTAGCCGATACCTATTCTTACAGAATGATGTGGAAAAAGTGGTGGTGGTGATTTTGGATAAAGAGCACCGCCCAGTGGAGAAATTCGTCTTTGAAATCACCCAGCCTCCCTTGCTGTCCATCAGGTGAGCTGCCTGTCCCTCCCTTGCTTCTGCTAGCTGGTGTGAAGTGCCCAGGAGCGCCCCCACCTCCCACAGGGAAGCTCCTAACTCTCTTGGTCAAAAACTTGGGAGGAGATATGGCAAGATGTGCTGATCTAACAAGTCTTCAAACTATCAGAGGCCAAGACATGGCCTAGCTGCCTGATAGTCTCTGTGGACAATACATGGGTTACATATAGACTCTCCTTTTTCATACCTGTCATAGTACTGGTGACTGGCTAGTCCCTGCCTCATTTTATAGATGCAGAAACCAAAGTCCAGAGAGATAACATGAGCTGTCCAGGGCCACCCAAGTCAGTGTCAGAGCCAGGACATAGACCCAGTTTTATGGCCTTCCAGTAGAGCATCCAGTCCATATAGACAACTAGAAGTTGACTCTGGGCAGGTCTGGCACCAACCTGTCCCCACTTGCTGTGCAGCCTTGGGCAAGCCCTTCCCCTTCCTGGCATGGTGTCCCGGGGGTGTGAAGAGGCTTGTATCGTGCCCTGCTTGTCAGGCCTGACTGCGCTTTGTTTTTTTCCCCATTTGCCATTGAATCAACTGCTGCTCGACAATCCACATATGTCAGAGTAGAAGTGTATTTCATAGGGTTTACAGTGGCTGATTTTTTGGCAGTAAATTGTTAGGCCTTTCTTCTATGGCGCCTCTGGAAGAACTTGAACGTCCTGCCTTTTAGCTGTTTGCACCATCCAGGGACTCCATTAAAACCACCTGAATCCCCACCACCCAAATTCTGACTGAATTAGTCTGGGGTGGGGCTGGGCATTGGTTTTAAACTTCTTAGGTGATTCTAACTGTTCAGACTCAATGGGTAGCCAGGCCCTTAGAAGCCAACACTCAGAACCACTGGAGGGACTCTGGCCCCCCAGGCCTGCTTGCAGGGAGACCCTTCCCTCTTGTTTCCAGCTCAGACTCCCTACTGTCTCACGTGGAGCAGCTGCTCCGAGCCTTCATCCTGAAGATTAGTGTGTGTGATGCTGTCCTGGACCACAACCCCCCAGGTATACTTGTTCCCTCACCTCTACCGTGGATGTTTCCGTAGTTCCCTGGGGTTGGTCTGTGTCCCCAGGTTCCTGTTTGGCTGCACTGAGCCTTATCTCTTCCTTCCTGCCCTTCAGAGCCTCTCTGAAAACCCACCACCTCCAGGAAGCTTCCCTGATTGACTCTACCTGGCTTTAGTTTCCCCCTGTGCATTTCCTTAGCATTTGGTTTGCACTCTGCTCTGTGGGGCTGGGGCCCAAGCCTGGGCTGCTGGGTCAGCCAGGTAGGTGAAAAGAGGCTATGCCCAGTGCCTGGCATGGGGCAGCCTGGCCTTGACCAATCTCTTGCCTCTCCAGGCTGTACCTTCACAGTCCTGGTGCACACAAGAGAAGCGGCCACTCGCAACATGGAGAAGATCCAGGTCATCAAGGTGAGATGAGACTGGGCTGGGGGCGTGGAGTGCAGCTGAGAGCCTCTGAAAACAGTGCCACGGTCCCAGTGGCAGAGGTGTTGCCAGTACTTATAGCTGGGCCTCTCTGCATGTTAATTATGTGGCCACACACTTGTCACTACCCCATCTCTGAGCGCACAGATGGGAGGGTCTGCATCACCTGCTGGGCTGCCCTCTCTCCCTGGCTCTTCTGTAGCTGGGTTTCTCAATGAGGGGGCCCTTCCTTGCCAGCTGGTGTCAGAATTGGTGCGTGGGTCTTGTGAAATCACACAAGTTCCCACCGGACCTGCAGACCTGGCTGCTCTGGAAAAGCCTAGCAGTCTGCATTGTTAGCAGCTCCCTTATGATTCTGCAGTTCCAGGAACTCTTAGGGCTCCAGCCCTGTGAGGGTTGCAAAGTGAGGACAGGCTGGGGTCTAGCCCCCTTCCACCCTCTCACCTCAGTCCCCCTCCTCAGGACTTCCCTTGGATCCTGGCAGATGAGCAGGATGTCCACATGCATGACCCTCGGCTGATACCCCTGAAGACCATGACGTCGGACATTTTAAAGGTGGGTTTAGGGAGGCTGGCATAGGGGACCAGGTAACCTGTAGTCAGGGAGGGCTTGGGAGGTGGGCTGCAGCTTTGCTGGAGGGCCTGTAGATCAAGGCTTGGGGGAGATGACTCTCTCTTAACCCCCAGCCATGGCTATGCCAGTCCTATGCTTGGTAGAGACCTGCCTGCCAGGGGCTTGAGGGCCCTCTGAAGTAGGTGTCCTGGCTGTCACCCTGATCATGGCCATTTGCTCCTGTTCATCAGATGCAGCTGTATGTGGAAGAGCGAGCTCATAAAAGCAGCTGAGGGTGTGCCTGCCCCTACACTGATGCCACACCTGTTGGACTTGGGGCCCCCAGCCTAGGGCAGCACTGCAGGCCCCCCAAATCCAAGTGCTCTTATTGCCCTTCTGCATGGACTGCCACCCTCCAACTCAGGGCTGTACAGGTCTGGTTGCTTTCATGGACTCCAGGAGGGCAGTGAAGCCTGCTGGGACTTTGAATTTTCAGCCTCCTGGGACTCAGCTGGCCAATACTGTGCGTGAGCTGTTTCAATAAAGGGGCCGTCACTCACCGGAGTAGGAGGGACAGGTGCAGCCAAATTAACCTGGGAGAGGGGCTGCTTCTCTACCAAAGTGCCAGGGCCCTCCTGCCCCCCTATTAATTCAACCCCAGGCTGGTTTTACTGTAAACGTTTACTGTGACAAAATATTGAAAGTACACAACAGTTAAGTTACCACAAACTAGAAGGTCTTCTCAAGGTTGGAACTGGGCAGCAACTCCTGGGACTGGGACCTCACTGCCCATTATAGGCTCAGCTCTTGCCTGGAGGGGATGTCTGGCCCTCAGCTGGCCTGACAGAGGTCAGATGACGGAAAGGACAGGGCAAGCGGGCAGCCTTCTGATCTGCCTCATCTTCAGGACAAATTGTTGGTGAGCCTGGGCTCTGGGTCGTCTTATGGCTGATGATGATGCTGCTATTGGTGACACGGGGCCCATACCAGCCTGCCCAAAACTGGGTGTCCATGCCTCCATGCTGGAAGAGGATGTGGCGGACACCTGGAGGGTAGTCTGAGAATGTGTAAGAGACCTGGGGAGGAGAGAGGCTGTGACCACTGGGAAAGGGGCGGAGGGCCAGAGGGTGACCACTGAACTGGAGGGAGGGAGGAGCTGGGTCCTGGGGGAGGAGTGGGTAGGGGCAGGCAGGCGAGGCCTCACCTCTGTCCACTTGGCATCATTCCACTGGTGAATGATCACTGGTGGTGGCTCAAAGGAGGCCAAGACGATGTAGTCGGCGGAGGCCAGCTGTACCCGGAGGTGATAGGCACAGCCACAGTCAGCTCTGGCCGCGAACCTGGGGGAGGGCAGGGGGAGGGCTGGTCCTGGGGGAGGGGCTAGCAGTAGGCCCTCAAATCTAAGCCCAGGGTTGTATCACTGCGCTTGGCTGGGGCCTCCTGCCCACGGGGCCCAGCCCACTTTGGGCTCCCTCTGCCCCACTGTGTCCTGGGATAGGGGTGGGGGAAAGTGGTCTATCTATGTTGGGCCTCAGTTATCCCACTTGAGAAAAAAGCAACTCTTAGGTGTTCTAATGAAGATGTAAGGAGCCTGGTAGCACAGTGTTAAGTACCTGACTGCTATCCAGAAGGTCAGTGGTTCTAACCCACCAGCTACTCTGTGGAATAGAGATGTGATAGTCTGCTTCTGTAAAGACTTACAGCCTTGGAAATCCTATAGGGCAGTACTGCTGTGTTCCATAGTATCGTTATGAGTCAGAACTGACACTACAGCAATGGGTTTGCTTTTTGGATTTTAGTGAAGATATCACCCCCAGAGAGTAAAAGGTCCTGTACAGAGATAAGGGCCTGACTGTCTGGATTATGTCACCTTACATTATAATGGAACAGGCTGTATACTTAGTGGGAGATTAAAGGGGTTGGCCTGTGTGATTGGGGTGGGCACAGAGCTCCACCTCTGCTTAGCCCTGCCCTCCTTGTAGCTCTACTTACCCCCTCAGACCCCACCCCTCCACCCTCTGAGCAGTAGCCCTGGGGCATGGCTGAAACTGGGATCCTGACATCTGCTGTGGGCCAAGCTAGAGCCTTGCGAGCTCTGTGCACACAGTAGGCACCTGGTGGAGTTGGAGGGTGAATAATGAAAAGACGGTGGGGAAGTGGGAGGGAAGAAGGCATGTGAGTGTCTGCAAGGTTCCAGGAAGGGCTGGGGTCTTGGGTATCTCTGTTGCTGCAGGGCTCATTGGTGATAACTCATCTGTAGGCTTCCGTCTTCCCAGCTACAAACCAGGTTAATGTGTGGTGGGGAGGCCAAGAGGTGCTGCAAGTGCTGGGTCTCACAAAGTAGGCAGGATTGGATCTGCCTGGTTCCAAGGGCAGCCCTTGCCCCAGGACACAGCCTGGCACAGAGTGGGTACTCTGGTTTTCTCACCCACTGAATGTGGCATGAAGAGAAAGAAGGAAGGATATAGAGTATAGGAACATGATGGGCTTTACTCACCAGTCCTTGACCACAATTTCGGGCCGGAATGTATCCAGCAGCTCCTCCCAGTAGCCCTCGGCCTTGAGGTCCACCAGCTGGGACTTGAGGCACATGCTGGGGACAGAGGGAAAGGCTTGCAGCCCCAGCCGTGCTCCACACAGCCCTGCCCAGGCCCTGGCAGCCCCTGTGGATCCAGGGAGATGGTCTGTGGGCTAGCCTTGGGTCAGCTACCCTTGGCCCTGGCAGTCCCGTCCACACACAGTGGTGTCCCCTGACCACTGCAGGACAAGCACCAGTGGTGCCAATTCCTGTTCCTTCCCTGGCACAGGCCTGTGAGAAAAACATGCAGGAAGTCTCACTTGTGCATGGGCGGCATCTGATCCCACCCTACATGGGCAGGATGCAGGTCTCATGTCAGCTTCCTGCATTTGGCCTGGGACACCAAAGGAGACTTTGTGGTGCCCTCTGTGAACTCATGTTCCTAGATTAGGCGCAACATCAATTTACCTTAACTGCCTAATGGGATCCTGGCCCCCTGAAATTGATCTCATCCCCCCTGCCTCTTTACTTGGCTTCTGCATTTACTCCTCCAGGAAGCAGTAGACCCTGAGCTGATGTTAGAACCAGTTCCAACAGTCTGTCTTACCCATAGGATGTGACAAAGTACTTCTTGACTTTGGGGTCAGGAAAGTTTGTCCCATGGTCTCCAGGGAGGCTCTCTACCCTCCAGTGGTCGCCATCATTGGAATCAATTTTCCAGGATGCCATATCCTCTAGGAAAAACAAGCTGAGGTGAGATTCCCTGTGTCAACTTAAAAGTCTAGCCTCTCCATCAGGCCCCAGAAAGGTGGGTGGGTGAGCATTAGGATGACTCCTGAAAGGCAGGGCTTGGTCCTGCTCAAAGATCTCTGGGGCTGTGGATATCAAGGGGTTAACCAGTTTGCACCTTTGCAGAGGCCCTTGCAGCCCAGGTCAGCACCCCACCGTCCTGCCCACCTTGGTGCACTCCTCCTCCATAGAAACAGTGCCACCTGTCCTTACCATATCCTCTGTAAGACCTTCTCCCTCCCATTTGGCCCCCAAGTGGCTTTACATGAAGCTGGTGACAATATTTCCAGGAATTCTAAAACAAACCTTGTTTCTCTCCTGTGCTGCTCTGAGAAATAGCCAAGTTTCAGTTCTCAAAAAATTAAACTGTGCAGGGCCTGTAATGAGTCTTAATTTGTTCTTGATGGTAGGTGTGACCTGCCCTGTGTCTAGGAGGGAGGATCCCTTGGTTAACTCAGATCTGAGGAGTCTGAGAGGCATGATGGGTTTGCTGTGGATGGTGGGAACCTACTCTGCCAACAGGACTTAGTCCCCTTTGCCCAGGGTGAGTGAGAATGGGAGGATAGGCAGCCTCTGGGCTGGAGATGTGCCATGACCCCTGCGTTTGTGGAAAGATCGCTCGGCAGGTTCAGAGTGGCAAAGCTATCCTTCCAGGCCTCCCCCTTCAGAGTGAACTTAGAGGACTGTAGGAGACAACAGGGTTCTCTGCTGCTGCTATCCATAACAACCTAAAATTACTCCCCTGGTGCCTCCACTAGGAGCCCACACTTCTTCCCCTGGTACTCAGTGGGGGTTTCCCAGGTGAGAAAGAAATCAAGTAACTAGGCTGGCCCTGGGTGTGGGCCCAGGGCCAGTGCAAGGCCAGGCTGCAGAGTGGCTTTGTAGGGCAGTGGGAGCTGAGCTGAGCAGGGCTACATGGCTGGGCAGCTTCTAAGTGGAATCCAGGGCAGGCAGAGAGATTGAATGTCTTGGGTATTGTCAGTGGGTCCTTTAATAGAGACCGTGAGGCCTGTATCAGGCAGGCCCAGCCTCAGAGCTGGGCAGTCCTGGGTCCTCTGGACACTCATTTCAGGGTGTCAAGCTTCCCATCTATAAAATGGAGCCAACCCTACTTGTTCAGCCAACTCCCAGGCTCCTCATGAGGATAAAGAGTGAAGAAAGAGTGAAAATAGGTAAGAAAGCGATTCCAAATGCACAAACCATGCCTGAACCCATTGCTGCTGCAGCCCCAACAAGAAACAGTGTCCGGTAGAGTAGGTGCTGAATGAGCAAGAGGAAACCACCCTGGCCAACAGGAGGGCATTACACCCAAGCAAGATAGGGGCACCCTCAAACTGTGATGATCACAGTCACCTCACGAGGTCCTCATTTTTTTTTTTTTTAATCTGTATAATGGGGAGAACTGGAAGGTAATTACATTGTAGAATGCTGGGGGATGCAAACAGTTACTGCACTCAGTTGCCAACCAAGATGTTGGGGTTTTAAGCTCACCCAGAAGTGCCTCGAAAGGAAGGCCTCATGATCTACTTCTGAAAAACCAGCCACCAAACACCCCAGTGAATACAGTTCTAGTCTGGCACATGTGGTGCTGCCAGGAGTCACAATCGACTCCAAGGCAGTTGGTTCTAATTAACATCTGTAAGAGCCTCAGACTAGGGCCTGGCACAGAGGAAGCCCTCAGACATTAGGCAGCTTGGACTGAACTAAAAGGGAAATGTGGATCTGCATGGTGTTCATTCAGCAACATTTCTCAAACACCTACTGTGTGAAGGCACTATTGCAGATGCCAGGCACAGAGTGGCAAACAAGATGCATTAATCCCTGTCCTCCCATTCTCACTCACCCTGGGCAAAGGGGACTGAGTCCTATTGGCAGAGTAGGTTCCCACCACCCACAGCAAACCCATCAGGTCCCTGAAACTTCACATTTGTGGCAGAGGAAAAAATGTAGAACAGATAATTAATTACAGGTTGTTAAAGCATTCTAAGGAACTAAGAGTGATATGACAGGGTGAGAGCACTCTTTTTAGATGAGGGAGGATCAAGGTATGTCTCTGAATTGAGACCTGAAGGAGAAGGAACCAGCCAAGGAGGGTGCTGGGGGTTATGTGTCTGGGAGAACAGTCCGGGTGATGTGGGAACAGGAGGAGCAAAGACGTTAAGGTTCAGGAAAGGAAGAGAACCAGGCTTG